ACACTTCCAGCTCCCTGGCGTCAAAAGGAAAAAGAAAAGAAAGCTGAATGACTGGAGAAAGTCCCATTCCACCTCCTTAGTACTATGATGCCTCCCACACTGACAGCTTGCTGCCCCAGCACTCCACAGACAAGATCGTCAGCACGAACTCTGACAGTCCCAAACTGCAAGCCCACCTGGAGGGTGTGAGGACAGCGAGATTGATAAACTGCGGACAATCCATTCCAAATAAAAAAAACAAAACAAACTCAGCCAATAAAAGTGCCTTACAACTGCATGTACACAAAGATGAGGGTCCATTAAATGTTAACGCAAAAGAACACACGATACAGTATTATCGGCTATTAAGACTGGAATGACGCTTTCAAACACATACTCTACTCATGCATTCCCGGGAGCAGAGAGCAGCTTAATGTTTTCACGATACACAGGCATGAAGTTTGGCGAAGGCATTTTAATATTTTTACCTGAATATTTTCATAAAATCAAAAGATCATTTTCACTCTAATACTCTACTTAGAATGTAATTTTCCATTAAATAAACAGTCAATGTTCAGTAACCCACATGCTGATAAACTTTTGAAAACTTTAGAAAGTATTAAGTATAATCAAAGATTACTTTTAATTTTCGAGCTGGCAAGAGCCTGTATCAGGGAACAGAGTTGAGATTGAAAAGATAAAAGCACAATTATTTTCTTAAAGAAAAGCGAAATTCATAAAAGAGACCACGTGATTCTATAAAGCAACACAGAATCCGTTTACAGAACAGGCAAACATGGACCACAGAACACCAGTGTTGCCCATGATGAAACAGTTAAAAGGAAGAATTCACGGTGGCCCAGCATAGGTCAGGTGTGGGAGGACAGAGTAGTGACAAAATGATCCTTCTTCTAACTTCCCAGAAAGGCACAAACAGCCAGCACTGTAACTGAAGACCACGCAGGAACCAGTATGAACTCAGACGCCATGGCCAGCACCGTAACTGGAAACCACACGGGCACTGGTGTGAACTCAGATGCCACGGCCCGCACCGTAACTGGAGACCACGCAGGCACCAGTGTGAACTCAGATGCCATGGCCAGCACCGTAACTGAAGACCACGCAGGCACCAGTATGAACTCAGACCCCACGGCCCCAACCGTAACTGGAGACCACGCGGGCACCGGTGTGAACTCAGACGCCATGGCCAGCACTGTAACTGGAGACCACGCAGGCACCAGTGTGAACTCAGACCCCACAGCCCGCATCGTAACTGGAGATCATGCAGGCACCAGTGTGAACTCAGACCCCACGGCCCCAACCGTAACTGGAGACCACGCAGGCACCAGTCTGAACTCAGACTCCATGGCCCCAACCATAACTGGAGACCACGCGGGCACCGGTGTGAACTCAGACCCCACGGCCCACACCATAACTGGAGACCACGCGGGCACCGGTGTGAACTCAGA